AACACGTTTCAAACAAAATTCAGCCTCCGTGGAGGCAGCGTCATGATACAATGGATCGGCGGATGGGCTCCGGGGATCGATACGGGAATGCATTCCCAGAAGGAGGAGGCAGCATTGATTGCTTCCCGGATGCGGGAAGGATTGACTGTCTCTCTCTCACTTCTCTCTCTCTCTCTCTCTCTCTCTCTCTCTCTCAGCAGGGTAGAATGGCCATACGTGTGCGGAGCGCATCCCTAAGGGCAAGAGCTGCGGGGTCCGCCCGTCCTTGTCACACAGGTGCCGCCGGCGGATACATTCCCAGGTCCACCATCCACTCGTTACCGTCCGTGTCCCGCTCCAGAAGAACCCTCTTGTCAAAGTCAATTCCCGCCTCAATAAGCAAGTTATGGAGGATGCACACAGCGTGAAACTGTTGTGGCATGTTTTCCATATTCGTCTTGTGGTGGTGAAGGAATAGCCTCCACATTCCCTTCAGCCGCCCGAATGCCCTCTCCACCACTCCCCTTGCTGCTTTCTGCTTCCCATCGAATATGGCAACATCCGATTGCTGCTCCACTCCTCCGTAAGGGACAACCATCCATGTCTTTGGATCGTACCCGCTGTCACCCAGAAGGTAGCCCTTCGTGCTAACGCCTCCTGGAAGAACAAAGGGCTCGGCGTCGAACAAAGTTCCAGCTACTGCGCACTTGAACAATGACGAGACAAGACCCTGGCGTCGTGCACACTGCCAGGATATCCAACAAAGACGTCCAGCACCCTCTGATCCAGATCAACGACCGCTTGTGCGACCACCGAATATTATTGCTTCCGATTATAGTAGCCTTCCGACGGTGCGTTCGCGGGCTTGTCCACAAAGACATGCGTGCAATCTATGGCCCCGAAGCAGTTTGGAAAGCCCTTCGCTGCGAATGCACGTGTAACTTGTCGCTGCCTTCGTCCGGTAGGCATGGCTATCTTGTCAGGGTATGCTAACAAAATAGCGTTGGTCACGTCCCGTACAGCGGTGATGCCAGTGGCTCTGCCGATCCCGAATGAGGACGTCCCGTTATCGAAGGTTTCCCCAGAAGCCCATCTGTAAAGTGTGTATGCTACGACGCGGTCCGGCTGGAGCGGCACACGGTAATGAGTCAGCTGCCGTCGAAGATACGGGCTACAGGCGGCAACGATGTCGTAGAATAGGTCCTTGCTCATCCTCAGCTTCTCATGGAAGTACTCCGATGTTGCGTCGCCTGATATGCAAAGGTCCCCCCACGTTCCTCCCGTCCTCCTTCGTATCCACCAACGCGGACTCTCACGCGGGAGAACACCGGCAATGATGGCGTTCGCCATCAAGAAAGGTGCGTCCCACAGGACACCGGAGGTTGCCGGCTCCACCATCGCCTGTTTCATGGCTGCCTCCATCTTCCGCCTACGTATCGAAGCACGCCGCCGCAACTCAGCCGCGGATTCCATATGCCTGCACACCGCCGTCAACGCACTCACCAGCAAACCCTTCTCCCTATCTGACAACTCCCTACGCGTCACCTCCTCACCACTCCCGTGCATGACTGCGCAGGGGACCTCGCCGCCTCGCCGCACGCCAATGCTGCTGCTTTCCCCGTGATGGACATCACTTCGCGGAAGAGACGACGTGCACGGCCTACTTGAGCCTCGCTGTGCGCAGGACCCACCCCCTCCATCAGGCGCTACCGCCGGTACACGGGACGCCGATATTCGAATTTTCAAATAATGGCGCGGACCCGCCAGCCCGCAATTGTCCCTCGCGCCGCCCCAGGCCCGGACATTTTTCTAAACCACGCGCCCATCAGGGATGACCCGCCGACGACCTCAACTGCCAGGCCGCGACTGTCAGCCCCCGCGGCCGTCTCTAGTGCTGGCGTCTCTAGTACTTTCTCCAGTGCACATGGAACGAAGATTGCTGTAAGTATTTTTTAATCACGATTTCGGGATTAGGGTGCACTTGAGACTCTAGGGTTCTCTAGTGGTGTGGAACGAGACCCTTAGTCCCTAAGCCCCTTCAATTGAAGGGACTCCCTGGCCCCTCCAGTTATTCCTGTTCATAATGGTAGCAATTGCATCCTTCCTGTGTCCTAAGACCCCTCCACTGATAGACTAGCAGTCAGAAGTGACCCTCCAACCCCAATAAGTACGGATAGGGTACAAGTAGACAGAATTGTATCGGATAAACTAAAACAGCACCGGATCGTTTAGGCGGGGAGACCCCCTATCCCCTGCAACATTCCTGTTCATAATGGAAGCGCCTGCATGCTTCCTGTGTACAGCGTGTAGTAAGGACCCCTCCAATGATAGACTACCAAACATAACGCACTGTGATTCTGAGTGTTCACAAGCTATCTTTCCGGTCCTGTGCAGCCAAAATGAGGGTCCATTGTGTTCGGGCCCAGCTTCGTGGGAAGTTGGTAGCAATCAGAAGCGAACCTCGACCCATGAGTACAAGCTGCCCACATCACTTCTGTTCGCAGATGCATTAATCAAATGCAAGCCTTAGACTCTCCCCTTTCGGGCCCTTCGGGGGCTAACAACACCACATTGTCAGGCAGGGGGTGGGGTGCCTACCTCGAGGTGCAGTTGTTCGGTTCCGCCGTATCCATCCATGGTTGAGACTTAAAACGTAAACATTTAAGAACACCACCGCGTTTCAAGGTCTCCCAGGATTTCAGGAGGCCATGGGCTATTTGCAGCGGTGCCTGTATAACTCATTGGCCTCACAGTTCCTTGGTGGTGTGTTGTCATGTATGGAAGCTATTTGGATGTGCCTGGACATATTGCATGGCCAGGTGCGTGATCTGTCCCAGTTTTTTGGTGCTGTATCGTCATGTATAAAAGCTATATGGATGACCAGGAGTGCCACCTCTGCGGTCGAAATTTCAAGCCTGCCCCTATCAGAAAGAAACCAACTCACCTGCACAACCTGGCATATAGATCATGCACCTGGCTGTGCAGTCTCACACCCTGATACAGAGCCTCACACACAGTCGCATGCCCCCATTACAGAGTCCCGCACTCCCATACACATTTCCACACCCCCATACACAGGCCCCCCTTTCCCCCCCTATGCAGTTCCACACCCCCATACACAGTCCCACAACCCCTTACAAAGTCCCACACCCCCATACACCATCCCACACCCCCATATACACAGTCCCACACCCCTGTACGCAATCCACACTCTCATGCACATTTCCACACCCCCATACACAGGCCCCAAGCCCCATATCCAGTCCCACTCCCACACCCCTATACGCAGTCCCACACCCCCATAGACAGTCCCACACTGCAGAGTCCCGCACCCCCACATGCAGTCCCACACCCTCACACTCAGTCGCATTTCCCCATACAGAGTCCCACAATTCCATACATATTTCCACATCCCCATACACATTTTCAACCCCCCCCCCCCCCCCCAATAGACAGTCCCACACTGATAATGCAGAGTCCCGCACCACCACATGCAGTCCCACACCTTTGTTATGTGCCTGATCAAAACGAGATACAGTATGGCATCCACATGTTCCTATACACATGGGCAACGACAAGAGATCATGGAGAGAGCAATTCACACCACATTGGATGAGAGAATATACAGTGGAAGCACTTAAACCAAAAATAGAATTGAAATTAAATTACTCAAATTCTCATTAATATCCCGCTCCTTCCAGCCAATCAATGCATTGTTATTTCCAAGGATCCCAACCACGTTATTAACATCCACGAACCAACTAAGAAGAGAGTTTCAACAAGTAAGGGAGACTTCTTCTTCACCCCAACCTCAAGCTCACAGCTATGGTGCAGGCCTGCACCCAACCTATCAAGCCCATCAATCGCCACCGACCTTCCTGAACCCAACACGCCGCTCAGCAGTCCAAACTCGATGCCCACTGCAGATGAAGCGTCCGCTCAACAGGGCAGGGTAGCTCGCAGGACGAGGAAGAAGAACACCAGCGCTCGATGAAGAAGGAGATGGCTGCCACTTCGACAAACACTTGCAAGAAGGGTTTCGATGGCGACCCTGCCTATCCCCAACAGCACAGGTAAGAGGAGGCGCCTCACAGCGCTAAGGGCCTGATGCCCAGCGCAGCCACAACAAGGGCCAGGAAGCCCCAGCTATGGAGGACAGCCCTAGCAGCATGAAGATGATGCCGCAAGTGAAATAACACAGCACCCAAACAGCACGCGACCTCCAGCAGCACTCCGTGGAAGAAAAATGACGAGACAGAGCCCCTTTTTTTTTTATACAAAAAATGACGAGACAGCGCCTGTTTTTCATTCCCCTCGACACTTTTGTCGACTGCTGTTTCCCTGACTCGACAGCCTACAGCCTAGGAACGACAGCCTTTAGCCTAGGACCGAACCTAGACCTAAAATTGGCAAGAGGGGAGGACAGAAACGACCTACAACTCAAGGGCAGAAAGGACAAAGCAGAGAGACCTAGTGGTATTACAGCTAGCCTACTGAGAGTACTCCAGCCAGACCTAGGAGACTACTCCAAACAGACCTAGGGATCAAGCCCGGTTACCTCCCAAAAAAAAAAAAAAAAAAAAAAAAAACAGGTCACGGGGTCGGATCCCCGAGAGCTCAAAACCGGGCAACATCAAACGACATTAGTGTACAGCCCGCATGCCACTGCAATTCATTGAACCTTCACACTCAGTCGCATTCCCCCCCATAGAGAGTCCCACACTCCCATACACATTTCACACATCCCCATTCACAGTCCCACCCCCCCCCTACACAGTCCCATTTCTCTGTACACAGTCCCATTTCTTTGTACACAGTCCCATACCCCTGTACACATTTCCACACCCCCATACACAGTCCCACACCTTCATATCCAGTCCCCCCCCCCACCCCCATACAGAGTGATCCAAACACTCCTCCCGTCTTGAACCACAGTTATCTGCTAGTGTATTGCGAGATTTTCTAGAAGAAGAAGATGATTCAAATTCCGAAATGAGGTTTCAAATATTCGACCAACTCACATCGCGAGAGGCCTTCAGCTGCGTGCTCATGCTGATTGCTGGCCCTGGATCCGGAACGCTGCCTCTTCGAGTCGAACCATCTTCTGAACATGCCCTTCCTCCTCGCCCCTTCGGTAGCGTTCCATCCGCTCCGGATCGTGAGTCCTTTGCCGTCGAGAACGCCGCAGCATCAGCGGCACACCTCGCTTCCAGCTTGGCAGCATCGGCAGACCGCAAATCAGCTAAGTAATTGCCGCCCCCCTGCCATGGCAAAGTTATGAGTCCACACATTCGCAGTGTTTCGCTATTATCCACTCGTCCACGACCAACGGCCGAAGAGGCCGCACCAGTGAGTAACACGTCTTTTCCTCGAGTCCACGAAAACAATCAAACAATAAGACTACTACTACTTTTGAATCTTTTTGGCTAGCACACCGAGCACACTATCTGCCGCAAGCACAATACACGATAATAAAAAAACATATCGTCGGCGGCACTATCCCATCATAATCCCACCTCCGTTTTGCTTTCACAGGGGTAGTAATAGTAATATCCCCTTTGTTTTCCCTTTACTTGGATGGTTCTACCACTTCTGTTTTTCTCTTGCTTGCGGGTCACGTGTGCTTATTGTGCCAACACGCGGTAATAAATTACTAATAATATATCGCCGGCAGCACTGTCCCTCCTCTGTTCTTCTTTTTCTGGGGCAGTAATACCCCTTTGCTTTCCCTTTGCTTGGGTAGTTCTACCCCCCTTTTGTTTTTCTTTTACTTGAGGGCCTAGTGTGTTTATTGTGCCAAAAATGTGCCTGTTGTGTGTGGGGGGGAAGCAGATAGATAACAAAGCATCACAGAGCATCACACATTACCATAGAGCTCGGCGCAAATGAGTTCCGTATCGGCAAAAAAAAAGACATCAACCACAGACAGTTAGTTAAAAAAAAAGAGCAACAGAGGCCTTGGCACAAATGAGTTTCGTATCGGCAAAAAAAAAAAAAAGGACGCGCCAGCACAACTTCCAATCCATAAAGGATGGGAGCGTGTGGCGCTGAAGCAACCCCCCCCCCCCCCTTGCACAGGCGGCTCGAGCCACAAGGGCAGGCTGCTTGCTTCATTAACTTTGCTTGCCGGTAAAAAAAACTTCCAATCCACACAGCAGCAGTTCAAATCCTCTTACAACTGACAGAACAAAGAGTTTGTCGACTGACCCGCCAAAGCACCCCAATACCTGGCTCAATAAAACAGAGTGCCCTGGGATCACTTGCGCAGCCGGGCCAAACGGAACAGAAAACTTTATTTTCTATGTATATATCCTCAAACGGAACTGCCTACGGTAAACCGTCGGCAGAGAGGGAGGGAGAAGAGGACAAACAAACGAGGCTCTGTGACAAACGGTAAACCGTCAGGGTTTCACCGACTTGTCAGGAGGCTGAACCCTCAACAGCGTGCAGAATCCCAGAGCTGATTACACTGTAAGTGATAATCCACCTTATATATATTTTTTCAATTTGGTAAAGAGTTCCGGTCGGACTCTGACAAAAAAGTCAGTTTGTATATTATTATTATGCTGAATTTATGCATAAAAACATTGTTTTTCTTTTAGAATTCTTTGTTTTTTTGTTTTTTAAACTTTTTTTCTGTGTACGGATCCGGGCCGCCTGGCTGACCAGCGCCTGCCCGGGGGAGGTCCCGGACGGCCTGGCCGGGCGGGCAGCCCGGTTGGGGGCCGGGCACCCCCAGCACACGTTGTTGGGGGGGGGGTCCCGACCCCGAATCGCCAAGTTCTGGCCTCCCCGGGGCCTACCTGGTCCGACCAGGCCCAAAAAACGGCGCGTCAGGCCCGTGAGGCCAGTTTTTTTTTCCGAATTTGTGACGGCCCTCTGGCCGTCGATCATCCATGATCGACGGCCAGAGGGCCGTCTGTTTTTTGGAGGGAAAATCAAGGCCCCGTTTGAACAACCGACTGGCTGGGGCGTCCTGCATCGGCTGTCCAAACGGGGGCCCTTCTCCAGCTGCCTGCGTTCGTGGTTCAGCCACCCTCGCTCCTCGCACTGCCCGTTGTCGCCATCGCCTGGGAGCTGCACTCCCCCGTCGTCGTGGAGTCGCCCATCGCCCGTCGCCAGCGTCATGGAGTCGGCCGTCGCTCGTCCCCCTCTCATCATCTTCTTCTTCTTCTTCTTCTTCTTCTTCTTCTCTCCTCCTCCTCCTCTTCCGACTATCTTCTT